GCAAGGCAACGCGCCCCGGCCATGCTGCGGGCCTCACGGAGCTTCCGCTCCGAAGGGCAAGAGCCGCCCCCAGCGCGGCCGGCTTCGCCCGCATCGGATCCGTCCCCAGGCCGGGGGCTCTGTCGAGGGGCCGGAGCCCCCAGTGCCTTCCAGCGGGCTGGGTGGCAGCTCCCGCCCTTTGCGGTGGCTGCGATCAGCTGTTAGCGCTGGAGGTGCCGAAAGATTCTCCCAGAAGGAGTTCGCTCTGCCAGGTGCCGCCTGGTGGGAAGCGCACCCCTCTTTGCCCTTCCGACCGTGCTGCTGGCCGCGCTCCTTACGTTGAGAGAGGGAGAGAAGGAAAACGGTGGTTGCGCGGCATGCTGGCCTATGAACTGGGGAATTTTTAACCTGCGCAGATAAACAGCGAAGGACTGGATGAGGACCTGGCGGCCAAAGAGGAGATGGATGACTCCCGGCTGCAGGAAGGAGGCGGCCCGACGACCAAAGAGGCCGAACCTGAAGGGCTGGAGAGTGGCAGGAGGGAGGAAGGGGGAGAGGCGGAACAGCTGGACCAAATGGCAAGTATCCTGTAGAAAACGGGGGCCCATTCCTTCGTGGTAGGTGACTGGGTGATCCATGCTCCTGTTTGCACAACCAGCTTGCTGGCTGGGGAATTCTGGGAGTTGAAGTCCACCCATCTTAAAATTGCTAAGTTTGAAAAGCACTGTGCTGAACAATAAATTAGGGCTACATGTCAGCCTGGCTGAGCCAAACCAAACAAGTAATACTGTTTCTTAACATGATCTGAGGGCCTGGTTCACGTCTCAAGCCATAACTCTGTTTGTTCGTTTAAGAAAAGTGTGATGTGGATAAAAGCGTGGCTTGTTAACGATGGCTTGTCATGTTTTTGTTTTATTTACAACTGTTTTCGTACCACCAATGAAAAACAAAGCAACTTGCAGACCAGGTTACCAAAAGTAACTATACAAAAAATACATACAAACATCAACAGTTCAATGTCATGACAATAATAGTAACAAATAGCGATCAGTAATTCCTCCACATTCCAGACACTTGCATCATTAACAACTCCCCAAATGACTTCCTAAACAATCAACCTTTTTACCAGTTTTCTGAGGCTTAATACTGAGGATCCTGATCTTATTTCTGGGGGAGGTGATTCCATAGGAAGGGAGTTCCAGCAGAGAATGCTCTCTTCTGGGCCTTGCAAGGGGTGGGGCTCCTTAGCATTGTTTTGTCGGTCGACACACTTTGGGTGTTATGTGTGTATAGTTTCTGAACACATGCATAGACATTTTCCTGGGTTAGGTAACTTGTTTAAATTCATACTTTTGATGTCATGCCTCCATATATACATCTTACTACCTTTTGTTTTTATATTTAAAAGTCTATCCCAAACAACAAATCACGAAAGAAAAAGAAGAAAAAAAAGAATAAGAAGAATCCTTCAGGCGAAGCTCTGGTAAATTGAATTAGGTTTGGGGGTTAAGCACTTGTAGGGAAATGTTGCTGCCAGGAATTTGAGACCTTAGGTGGGATTAGAACATTAAAATAGGATGGTACCCCTACAAAACCGTGATTTCAGGTCTACAGAATCTTTGATTGTTCATTCACTAGGAAGAGCTTGCAGTTGAAGAAACAATGTAGGTGGTCACGGGTAAACCTGTGCAAGGGCAAGCTGAAGCAGAATCCTAGGGTTGAAAGGGGCCTGGGAGGCCTTCTAGTTCAACCCCTGCCTGGGGCAGATTCTCAGACAATCCTGGACAAATGGCGGTCCTATTTTCAGTGATGGGGCATCTACCACTCCAGAAGGTGTTGGCCAGATTAAAGGGAGGAGGGACTATTATGAGGGTGCTGCATGCAAGAGAACACTGAGAGTTCCCTTTATATGGATTTTGTCTAAGGAGGGTGAAGCTCTTTTGCTCATTCTGTTGCTTCTCAGCAGTTCCCTGGAGATGATGACCAAGTGGAAGATATTGAAAGCATCTTGCTGAGCATTGAGAATTCCAGTGGGCCCCCATGCCAAAGCCAGAGCAGGTTGGTCACGGATAATCGGCCTCTGCTTTACATCGAACACAGGTAGGAAGCTAAGTGTCCTTCCGTGGTGGTGGTGGAACCTTAGGTTTTGGACTGAAGAAAAAAGTGTCAGTTTTATTTTATGTGTCAGTGTGGAGGCTCTGAGCAGCCTACAATTAAAAGAGAATTTAAAAAAGAACAACCTATACATATGTTGTATTTCCTAATTGTTGTGAAAGACCAAGAATCACAAGCTGTGGTGGTATATCCCTTTAATAAATAAATAAAGTTGAAATAGTTCCTGAATTCCAAAATGTAATGCATACATGTAAGTCAACAACCCCAGCCGTTGAGGGGCAGATGGTGTAATGAGGGAGATTCTCCAAGGCACCTGAGTCCCTCCCCTGTCCTCTTTTGTAAGGATTAAAACTGTAAATGTGTAATCCAGGACTTCAGTACTTTGTGGTGGTAAAAGGTACCCCCCATACACACGTAAGCTGCATTTGCTATTAAACCTATGAGACGACACCCCCCCACATACATATGAACTGCTTAAACTGCTTAAATGTTTAAGAAAACATCTAAAGCAAGCTGAATTGACCCTGAGTGGCGACAGGGAGAAGAATCAGTCAGGGACCAAATTGCTTCTATTCACCCGCCATATCTCACAGACAGTATGCCTAGCATGCTGACCTAGCGGGAAGGATAAATAATAAGAAAGTGACATGGATAGGCTTATCTAAAATATTCCCAACGTCATGCTGTAATTTCCACTGTGCTGCCTGTCTTGCCTTTGCAATGTGGTGGGCTAAAGGTCTATAAGGTCTGGTTCTGTTTTTGCTCGTGGACGTGGCCGTTCAGCAAAGTGCAAGGGTTTGGTGGGAGCCCAGTATACTGTATTATTGATTTCATGCAAATAAAAGCATGTGGTATTTCCAGAGTTATTTGGTTGCTTCAGGGGAGCCAGGTTTTGGCCACAACAACTTGTTCTCTGCATTGAATATTATGCAGGAATTAATAAATTTCAGAAGAGATTCATGTTCCCAACTTTGCAGGAACCTGAATCCCGAAACGGAGCTGAAGAGATACTTCGGGGCCCGGGCGGTTCTTGGAGACCAGAGGTGAGTTCCAGCATTGTGAGACAGAAACCTGTCTCTGGGTCATGTGGGAAGGCAAAACATCTGGCCATGCGAGCAAGGATCCAGGGAAACCTTTTGGCATTAGAGAATGCCATTTTCTAGACTGGACTGTGTCTGAGGCGAGGGCTGCTCCATCCTGCCTGGAAGTCTTTGTTGCCGAAGGAAGGGAGGTGGTACCTTCCCAGTCCGAAGGCAAGGAAGGATCAGCTTGGGATCCCTCTGAGCCACCCTGGGACCATGGTAGTTCTGGATGGAGAGGTGTTTTTATCGGCCATTCGGACGTGGCTGAAACAGAGGGGGCTTCGATCCGTTCTCGTGCGGCTGCTTGCAGTCGCAGGTCGCCGATTGCCTGCTCTGAGGAAGGCCCAGCACACGGCCTGCATCAGGATGCAGGAGCAACACTCTGGGGAGCAATCAGCTGGTCCGGTTCCTTTGATGAACTCAGGCAAAGATCTGAATCTGCCTTTCTTACGGACGTTGCGTGCGTGTGAGGACAAGCGCTTGTCTTGACTTCAGATGTGGTGTTCCCCCTTCCGTTGCATCTCTTTGCGCTCGGTCGGGAGGTGGCGCTGTCACAGGGCTTCGTTCAGCACTTCCCGGCCGGAGAGCAGAGACGGCTTCCTTTCCCCAGGAGGAAAGCCGACTTCCTCCTCATTCCGAAGACAAGACTGTGTTTATTTTTTAAAGACTGACGATCTCCCGGCGTGGCGGGGGACCAGGATGCATCAATAGGGCTTTGAAAAACAACTGCGCCGCCCATGTGGGCTTGGATGCAGGTGCTTAGAAACTAGAATAGAGCGAAAGGCTTTGCCATTCAAGTCTTCAGGCGTACTGCTTCTTTCCAGGCCGCGGCAGAGGCAGCGCCAATATGTACACAGCACGTGGTTGACGGCGCCCAAGGAGACTTGGCCACGTCACAGCAAAACAGGTGAGGGGCCTTTCCTTGAGGGCCTGCATTCTGGGCCATCCATGCTGTTGTTCTCCATCTTTGCCTAGGAGAATCCCAGATTTGTTTTACGGCTGAAGAAAGCAAGAATGCTTGCTTTACACTGAACAGCCGATGAAAACGTTAACATAGCTGGCTACATTTGGTTGGTAGATTCCTTTAGCTTGGAGTTGTACATGTATTGCATCGTGAGAACTCACAAGATTGGGAATATGGACAGTTGAAATTCAGATTTGGACTTGTGCATTCGGATGAGGGGAAATCAAGGCAGTCAGAATGGGAAAGGGGATGGGAAGATCCAAGCCAAGCATTTCTGTCTCCAGAGTTTCCTTTCTCTCCAGATAGATAGGCACTTAGCTTTCTAGATGTTGGTTGATCGTTTTGTTGAGGCTGACCACCCTCTTTCTCCCACCCACAATAATTCTGTCCAGGCATATCCATGGTGCTGCTAGAAACAAGGCGTGGAGAGCAACATTTTGCCTTTGAGCACAACCGGGAGTACCAGCTAGTACAGTTCAAATTCTTGGATGCTGTGGAATCGATGGACCCAAACAATCTTGTGGTAGGTTCTCCGTGAGGCTTCCCCAGAGTCACTCCTTCAAATCCACCAACTGTGAACTGCGGCAATTTTGCTCTACCCCAGCCTTGACTTCTGGACATGCTCAGCATCTTGGTATTTTTCAGCCACCCCCAGCTGGTGCCTTCCAAATGTGTTATTCCCAGAATTGCCAGCGAGCCTTCCTTCTAGGCTGTAGGACTAGATTGACCCTCTTGGGCCAGAGCAGTGGTCTAGCCAACTCTGCATGAAGACCCCAGCAGAGGCCTCATTTGTGTGCAGAAGCATCTTAGTAACCCAAAATTCACTTGAAGATTATCATTTCAAGTGTGGGCAAAACCTAAAATGTTCTGAGCTGTGTCCTCTGAGAGAATGTCACATGCGTAATAAAAAGGGATGTAACTTTCTGACTAAGTCTTACTCTCAAGACTTACGTGTGGGTATGATTTGAACCAGTAGAGTTGTGTATGAAAGGACCTTGAAACGTAGTTCTACCTGCTATAGAAGTTTTTTTCTTGAAGGTCGTGGATGCCAGCTCTAGTGAGCCTTCCCCCCCCCCCATATTGTCAGTTCTGAGTACATCTGCATCTGTACGATGTGCGTGTGGTCTCTTTCAGAAGAGACAAGGCGTCTGCTCGTGCTGAGAGCAAAACAGCTGTTGCTGTGGGAAAAAGGAACCTGCAGTAGGGAAGAGAAGATGCTCTCATGATCCCCATGCATTTACAGCCCTGCCGGCGGACCAGAGGCCCCCCATTAGCAAGCCAGCCCCTGGGGACTCTTCTCCTGTCTTCGGTTTCCCAAGTGCTGAAGACAAAGACTGCAAATGGGGCTAGAGAGCCCAGCATAGTGAGATCTAAGTCAACTTTTGTGCTATATTTAAACATTGGCTGCCTTTGAGGAAAGGGGCGTCTCATTTCTCCAGGGCGTAAGAGAACAGGCTCTGCTTTGAGGCTTTTGTGGAGCCTCTCCAACTGTATTAACTGGTGAACAACTTGATGGTAAATACCCAGCGTGGACAGGCCAAAATTGTTCTTAGCTTAATATTAGGATAATCAAGACATTGAGTTTGGAGAGCTCCCCCCTTCCTTCCCCCTCAGTCAGGATAAATGTGGCTCTTTGAAACTTGAGTGTTTTAGAGATAGAGCCCCTTTGTCTGGGAAAGACTCTGCCTTCTCTGCCCCTGCACTCTGGCTCCTCCAGGGGGGAACCCACCGCAGCTGAGGAACATTTTGGATCCTCTGACAAACAGTTGCAGGAATGTAAGTGCTTGGAAAACAGGAAGGATGGTGGTTTATTTTATACAGTAGCTTGTTTTCAGCACAGCCTGTGGAGGCAAGCGGATGGCTTTTCCTGGATCAGTAAAAGGTGAAGAGCAAAAAGCTGAACGGGGTCTTTCCCATAACTGAGGGCAGCAAGGAAAAACAGCATAAATTCAATGGCAAGCAGACACAAGGTGCCACTGAAAATTGATTCCGTGTCTGAAGTGTGAATATTTAACTTTTGAGAAGTGGTTCATACTTAAGTTTACTGAATGTGGACTTTGCAAATCTAAAACTGAGGGGCGGGGGAGGTGGAGCGGAGGTTGCCATAATAGGAGGGATGTGAACAGGAAGATGTAAGAATCCATAGAGATGGAAGATAGCCCTGAAGCCCAAGTGAAAGCCTGGGGCTTCTAGTGGCTGCCTGCATGCCAGGAATGTGGGAAGGGTTCCATTTGAAAACACGGCCAACTCATCTCTGCTCTTCTTCTGCCTGTTGAATTTGGAACTCTTCAAGTATTCCCCAAACACTGCTTTGGAATTAATGGGTGGTGTGCAAGGAAGTTTGGCGTTGGGCACTGCACTGACCTCATTGGGCATATCCTGGCATTCCTGGATGGCAGCCCCCCCACTCCTGTTTGGCTCTGCTCTTTCCTGTTCTGTGTTGCTTTTCCCTCGGAGAGTCCAGGTCCTTAAGCATCACTCTTCTGCTTTGTCGTTAGCTTCTGCTCCAGACGAATCCTTACCATGTGGACTCGCTTCTGCAGCTCAGCGATGTGTGCCGGATGCAGGAAGACCAGGAGATGGCCAGGGACCTGATTGGTAAGCATCGGAGAAGGGAGGCTGACGTGGTGGGGTGGCTTAGAGTCCTCTGTACCGAGGGGGCAGGAAGGGCAGCCCTGAAAGCAATGGGTCCAGGTCTTTTGGACGATTACTGAAGGGGGATGTTGGGGGCTCATTGCAGGGCAGTTGCAATTGCCTTTTGTGGTGCATTTTCCGCTGTACCATTTGGTTACCCGGTTTTAAGCAAGTATAGCCCGTAAAAAGGGAAGGGGTGTTGGTGACAGGTTTTGAAAAAATGGCCCCATCCCTTTGGAAGCCCTGGGGCAGAAAATGATGTCTGCAGGTGGGACGAGTGCATCACAGGCCACCAATGTGACCAGGCCATGATGCCTGTTTTGCAGAGAGAGCCCTCTACACCCTGGAGTGCGCCTTCCACCCTGTGTTCAGCCTCACCAGTGGCACCTGCAGGCTGGACTACCGGCACCCAGAAAACAGGTGGGCGCCCGCCCTGGGTACTTCAAGGTGGGGGGCTGCTTCTTGGCAGGTGACTCCCTCTGCTGAGTGCCAGGGCCACTGTTGCCGCCCCCTTGCCCGAGTTGAACATCCCCACTTCTGCCCCTGGAGTCACAGCCTTTCCTTTTGGTGTCCCTCACAGGGCTTTCTACCTGGCCCTCTTCAAGCATTTGCTTTTCCTAGAGAGGAGAGGCTGCCCACGGACTGCCCTGGAGGTCTGCAAGCTTGTCCTGAGGTGAGGGCTGCTCTCGGAGTCCCCTTCAGGCTTGGCCTGTCCTCAGCCAAGCACTTTGGCCAAGCGTGGTGGGCAGTGGGAAGGACAGGCCAGCACGGCCCTCTCCCAGTTCCGTTTTGGGTCAGGAGCATGTGTCTTTGAAGGCCCCCAAACCAGGTTGTCAAAGGGAGCCCTGAACTTCTTCCCATGACCTTCTCTGTGGAATGCTGTTTTGCAGGTGCCCGGCTGGTCCACCCTGGCCAGAGGCTAGTGATCTTTTCTTTGCACAGCTGTCATGTAACGGTTGTATTTTTTTTATCTGTCTCCTCTCGCTGAAGCCTTGATCCGGAGAATGATCCGCTGTGCATGCTGCTGATGGTGGACTTGCTGTCACTCCGAGCAAGAGAGTACACCTTCCTGATCCGCATGTTTCAGGAATGGGAGGTAAGGGCCCTGTGGAGGCCAGGAGAGCCCAAGGAAGGCAGAGCCCCACCTGCACAGACATTGGGCCGGTCATCGAAGGACTGGGCAGCACAGCCTGTCCAGCTCAGCGCCCTCCCCCCTCTTTTCCTTGCCCTTCAGCTGGTTGCCAGGGAGAGACCACCTTTCTGTGCTAGAGGGAGAGCCCTTGACAGAAACATGCCATCACTCCTGGCCTCCTCTCTAGTGCCCCGAGGTATTTTCTTCCCCCCAGATCTCTTCCCTGGGGGGTGGGGGGCAGTTGTATGGAAAGCCTCGTCCCACTTTTGGGTCCTCCCTCAGGCTGAAGAGAAGCCTAAGTGGGCCCAGAAGCATTTGCGGAAGCAGGACTGGGCTAGGCTGGTGCTTTGCATTCCAGAGTAGCTGCTTCCTGTTAATTATCTTTTAATTAGAGAGGCTTTAAAACAATTAAGCCAGATAAGGCTGGAGCAGCCCCAGGAGCAGGATCAGCGGGCCCTCAGCTGCTGACTATCCATTTTTAGTTCCGGTCGGTCGCTATTGTGCCAGGCTGCCCCATTTTGAAACTTTCCTAAGCCTTTGGCTGGGGAATAAAGCATAGACACATGGGGGGCTTGAAAACAGTCTTGGTTGCCAAAGGGTCTTTCGGGGACCTCTGAAAGGGAACAGGATCCGAGCTGCTTTCGCCCCAAAGCCGCCCACTCCCACCAGCGACAGTAGCAGATCTGCGGAGCCTCCAGCAGACAGAACTCCCTCCTGTCCTGCTGCTGCCACTTTTAGGGCAGACGCTGCCCTCCTTGAGACTCGCATGCAAAGCAGATGCTCAGCCACTGAGTAAAGGTGCTTTCCCCGTTGTTTGAGGGAAGACTCCTGAAGACCCAAGTCCTGTTTCCAACCCCACACCCACCTTCCCCTTCTCAATTTGTCTGGAACTCTGGAGTTGCCTCTTCCAACCCCCCAAAGAATCAGCTGAATTGGATGAGAACTGGCTTCTTTGTGACATCTGTTTCTCCTCTTCCTCACCTCCCCCCCCCCCGATCTTAGGGCCATCGGAATCTGTCACAGCTCCCCAATTTTGCCTTCTCCGTCCCTCTGGCTTATTTCTTCCTGAGCCAGCAGGAAGATATTCCTGAAGCAGAGCAAAGCCGAGCCCGTGAGCAGGGAGACAGCCTCATTCAGCAGGCCCTGATTATGTTCCCCAGCGGTAAGTTTGCCTGTGGGATCCGCCCAGGTCACGTGCAGAGGCAGGCTGGGGCAGCAGAGAGGAAGAGAGGGCCCGTTGTGTCAAGCGCTGGATGACTGGAGTGAAGGGGGGAGAATCGCAACAAAGGAAGGCGCCAAACGTCACCTTTTAGACACGAGCAAAGACTGGATCTCCCTCTTCGTGCACACACATACGCACACACACGGTTCTGAATGGCGCCCAAACTGCCTTGCTTTGTTGCTGAGAACGTCCTGAACGAAGGGACTCGGGACAAGGCCTTTTCAGGGCTTCAGCAAACCCTCTAAACATTGATGAGGGGGCCTGAGCATTCTTGCCCTGCAGGAGGGAGCCATGGTTCTGGGGAGGCTCTGACTCCCTCCCATCTCCCTTCCAGCCCTGATGCCGCTGCTGGACCGGTGCAGCGTGCAGCCTGACTCCGCGGTCAGCTCCCACGCCTTCTTTGGGCTGGAAGCCCAGCTGAGGTAATGGGGAGGGGAGGCCCTTTGCAGGACCAAAATTATGCCTCTCGCAGGAAGTGGATAGCCGCTGTGGGGCAGCAGGTCCTGAGAGGGGTGCCAGGAAGACCATTTAAACCAGAAATCCGTGATGGGGATGATTAAAATGAACTCTTGCCAGGGGAGATGTGAAAAGCAAAGGCTGCTCCTGAGAACTTGCTCTTAGGGCCATCGGAATCTGTCACAGCTCCCCAATTTTGCCTTCTCCGTCCCTCTGGCTTAAACATCCAACCCTCTGCAAAAGGGGAATCGTGTGAAAGGACAGTGAAAGGATCCCCAGAACGGCTGCACAAAAGCAGTGGTGGAACTAGCACCTCGTCCCCTGGAACAAGGACGTGGCCACACCAGTTCGCCTCTTAGCCTAATGCAGGGCCTCCGCCTGCCTCTTGAAAGCCCCTCTTCCCCTCCCTCCAGCGTGCCTTCAGCGCTGAGCCAGCTGGTCTCCCTCTACTTGGGGAGGAGCCACGCCCTCTGGAAGGACCCCGCTGTCATGGCCTGGCTGGAGACCAACGTGCACAAGGTGCTGCGGGTGGTGGATGCCAAAGACCCTGTTCTGGAGGAGGCGGAACAAAAGTGAGTCGGGAAAACGCTGGTGCCCTTTCCCTGCGGGCGGCCTGGGGTGCTGGGTGGCTCCCTTCCTCTTCGTCGTGGCATTCAGCGCTGCCACGTTCCTCCCACCGTAAGCGGAGTGAGGGAAGTGCTTACTGGTCTGCAGCTTGGAAAAGGTACAAAATGGGGTGAATGGCACTCCCTGGTTTTTAGCTTTTTTGCCGGGGGAGGCTGAAAGGGGTTTTAAAGGAGCTCCATGTGAGGTTCCTTGCCAACTGGGCACAATTCGCTGACTTGTGACCGGTGGAGAAGCCCAGGGGACACGCTTGCTCAGAGGCTTTTGCTTCAGGGCTCTGGGCAAGAGTGAAGCAGCTTGGAAGACGCCCTTGGCATGTTCTCCCTCCCTCCCTCTCTCTGTAGGCGAAAGGCAAGGTACCAAAATGCCCCCAGGAACGTCTACCGCCATGTGATCCTCTCAGAGATCAGGGAAGCCACAGCAGCATTACCTCCGGTGAGGGATCCAGCCCTGCTGTCATCTTCCGGCCTGGGCTATTCCCTGGCACCTAATCCTGCCCCTCCTGGTCTTCCTTTCCCTTCTGCTGTTTACGGTTCTTTGTGTACAGCGAGCCCCCGTGCCCTCCATCCCTGGTGTAGCACTGGCACTGCTGTCCACAGCGTTTGGCTGTCCCCCCTTTGAACTTTCTGGTGCCAAGGAGGACCCGGGGCCACTCGGGCCGTGGCTGGCAGCTCAGGTGGCCGTCAGAGAATCTCGCCGGGATTCAAGAAGAGGCACAGGGCAAAAGATAAGCGGGCTCGCAGGTCCCTGCAGGGAGGAAGGCTCTGGCCTCTTTCTTCCAGAGCTCTCCCAGCTTTGAATCTGTCCTTCTCAATATACTCACTAGATGAATGCTGAGTGATGATGGTGACAACAGCAATTCTGTTTGTTTTCCTCTCCCAAGGAGGTGACCTCACAGCCCATAATGGGATTCGATCCTCTGCCACCTCCGGACTCCATTGTTTCATACACAAGGCCCGAAAGGTACTTCCTCTCTGTTTCACTTCTATTCCGCCTATTGCAGTTCTTGAGATGCTGGCTTGGTCTGGCCAGTCTGAGCAGAAGCTCAGATGCCGGCTGATGCTTCCAAGCAAGACCCTCCCTTATCTCCCAGCCTTTCAGCCTGTCAACAGCTGTATGTAAAGGGGCATGGAAGCTGTCTTCCCTTGGGTCCGCCTGTCGGCTCTTTTTTATCCCGTGTGGCTGATTTGCAAGGCCTCCTGCCTGCCCACCGGTGTGCTGACACAAAGCTCTGGCCCCTCGCTCCCAGAAGAGCTGTTTCTTTCACGCAGTCTACACCATCCCAGCCCTCCACTCACACACACAGGGAAGGCTCAGGTGTTCCTTCTCCATAGCGATAGGGGTGTGGTCCTTCTCCTCCACACAATTCATTTTTGGGTCAGCTGTGAGAGGGAGATTAGGATAAGAGGGAGGGGTTAAATGAAAGCCCTCCCAGAGGCCCCATGGCCAGCCCGGCATCTGGCCCTAGTTCACTTCTTGGGGAGGTGCACTAAATGGACATCTATCACCAGATGGGCGCTCTCTGTCATTCCAGGGCAACCCACCCAACCAACGAAAGTACTTTATCGCTCTTTTTTCGCTCACTGTTGCCAAACTTCAACTTACAGGTAAGATACCCCTTTGAGCTGGAGTAGAGGCAACAGGAGCCAGTGCCCAGAGTGTGGCCGGGGGTGGGCAGGGCTAACAACCCTCCGTAGGCCAGGGTGGGGTGAAGGGCAGCAGAGGGGGGAAGATCTGCCAGCAGAAGTTTTGGGATTGGTCTGGAGAGATTGGTGGGCCATCCAGGTATTTGGGTCAGAAGGTTAGGTGAGCTCTGCTGCTTGAGCGGGGGCTACTGGATGAACCGTGGGTGCTGAGATTGTATACTGGGGTCTTGCATTTTAATCCTCGTACACTGCCCAGAATCACTGTTCCGAAATGGGCGGCCATATCGATCATTTAAATAAATAAAATCCAGCTGTCGGGTGCAGGGAGAGAGGCCTGCCCGAGGAGCTACCTGGCATGGTTTCTCCGTGTCCTGTGCTGCATTTCAGGGGGAAGTTAGAGCCGGAGGAGAAGAAGAGCCAGGGGCAGGGCAAAACCTCAACCAGGGAGTGAACCGGCTGATGGCGGCTATGCGGGACATGCTGGCAAACATCCAGTTCCAGGAACCCCCACGGGATGACAACGCTGAGGGTGAAGGGGGAGAGTGGGACTGAATCTGGCCCCTGTGTAATCACCCCACCGACAATAAACAGGTGTAAGCAGGAATTGTCTCTATACCTTGCCTGTGGACGTAGCTCTCCATTTCCCTCTCTCCCCATGAGAAAAGGAGGACTTGACTCAGTTTTGGACAGCGTTTTAGAAGGGAAAAGTTTAACAGCCGCCACCCCACCCCACCCCACCCCACCCCACCCCACCCACCAGTTTTCTTGATCTAAAACTCTTGCTGGCTCCTCCAAGGAAAATAAAGCAATTACCTTCTGCCTTGCTCTTCTTTCCCAGCGAGCCTATTAATGTTGAAGGAAGAAGCATTTCTGTTAAAGAAACGTTCAGCGCCTCCCTTGATTGTTGCCCTGGTCTTAATTCCGTTGAGCCCACCTTGATCCCAAGGGTTAGCAATGCCAATGCAAGGCCTGTTCAGGCGGCCCTGCCCTTCTGATTGGCTGTGCCCACGGCATGACTTGTAAAATGGGCAGCGGGGGCTGGGTGTCCCTGCCTTCCTGCTTTGCGAGATCTCCTCTGCTGCCTGGGGGTTCCCCCAAAGGTGTTTGTCCGTCAACAGAGATTGGTGGGCTTTGTGAAGAAGGTCTAATAAGCATACTCGTGCAGGATTCAGAAATAATATGTAGCCATGGTATCTGAACAAGCCATTCTGGCCTGCTTGGTACAACATGCCAGGCAGGGTTTATATAAACCGCTATGGGTGAGTTCACACATCAGACCTAGTCAGAACCAGATTGTGGCTTGTGTCATGTGTGAATCCAGCCATAAACCTGGTTTAGAATGGAAATGTATTTATGGAAATGCCAGGTTAAATTGCTCAGTGGCTTTGGGGGAATGAGAACCTAAATGGTGGTGGGAGCCCTTTTGCAGTATAAGAATGTTGCGTGGCCAGCAGGATGTCTCTGTTTCTTCATCACCAAAGCTGCTTCAAAAGGCTGGTCAAAACTGAAGGGCAAAATTACGTTCTCAGGACAGGCCTGGGGGCCAAAGCGGAACTGTTAACGAAAACCAGTTGGGATGGTCAGAATTGGCTCAAAAGTCAAACCACAAAGTTCTTCCCTGGAAAATGGTGAGCACCTGGTGGCGAAGGCTGTGAGGGTCGGAGTCAGCTTCCTGCCCCAAAGCAGACCCTCCACCAGAGGCGGGAATGACGGAGGCTCTCAAACTGGCCTGCTTCGAGGGGCCATGAGCAAAGTGGCACGACCTCTCTCTCTGAAGTCCTTCTGCCCCATTTCCTCTCAAAGCCCTCCTCGATAGAGCTGGGACTCTCCTTGCAGTTTCCTGGCTCCGAGGCAGGAAAGAGCAACACTCCTGAGATGGATGTTAACGTCCTCTTCTGCCTCCATTACAAGACATCCCCCCATCCCCCCTCCTGCCCAAGTTTCCATGCCACCAGCAACATTTTAGGTCTTCTGGGCTGTAGTCATTATACCTTACCACTTTTTAATTTAAAAAAAAAACTTTTACTTGACTAAAAAGTTAGACTTTGTTAGGAAAATATTTAAAAAAAAGAACTCTTGATATAACTATGGTTGGGCCTTTCAGTCTTGATATTTTGTAGAGACCTTTTGTGGGAGGGAGAAATGGTGCCGGACTCCTGGGCTGACTTTGGCATGTTGCTGTTCTGCACTGGGGCAGGGGGTGTCTGTGGAAGAGCCCACCTTCTTTTGGGATGCTTGATATCTATACAACCTCCAGTATGGCCCCCATTACCTGTGCAGAAGTCTTTCCATCCTTCTTCACACACACACACACACACACACACTCATCTGCAAAGTTGTTTATAAACAGGGTAACCAAGGCAGACTGCAAAGTTCGGGAAGGGCACCAGCATAAGAAGGCTGCCACTGTTACTGAGCTGGGCACGTGCCTGTTTCCGGTGCTTGGAACTCCCGGGTCACGCTCAGCCCACAAGCCCCAAAGCCCTCTGAAATTGCCTGCCCCTCCTGATAGCCACGTCATGCCCGCTCAGCCAGAGGCTCATGCATTCCGAGTGGCAGAGCCAGAGAAATAAACATCCCACGGAGTGATGAGGCCTCTGGTTTTGCTGGGAGCCAAATCACAACTTCAGCTTTGTTGCTGAGCTTCTGCTTGACAGGAGATTCAGAGGGGTCCTTTGGTGCCTCACCTTTCAAGGGCCGACTGCCCGTTGCTGTGTTCAGGCCAAGGGGAACTCTTTTCCTGGAGGAACTGAAGAGGATTAACCTGCTTCTCCATCGCATTACGCTGGCTCAGCCTGTTGTATATTGGTAAACGCAAGGACCGTTAACCGTTTCTTCCCACTTGGTGCATTCTTTGGTTCATCGACAAATCTCTCCTCAATGTTCCAGTTCCTAAAGTCTATCCTGTACAGAGCCCTTGTCCGGTGATGTGTTTTTCATGCATGTGTAGCTTCCAGGTTAAGGAAGACGCTGTGAGACTTGAAAGATAACCGGACTGCCCGTTTCCCTGGTCTTGGTAAAGAGGGTGGTCTTCCATTGCTCTGGCTCCCCTCCGCTCCCACCAGTGGGCAACCATGGCTGCCTGCACTCGGTTGCCCTCACCAAAGGCATCTCTCTGGACAAATCAGTCAAAGATCTCTGCAGAAAGTGTGCTTGATAGGAACTGAGGGGTGAAGCACACTAATCCAAATGCTTAAGAGTTCGGGAGTTGGTTTTGCGGAGGGAGGTGCTGCCCAGCAGCCAGCAGACCTGCTTCCTGACTTACAAAGGTATCCCCTGCTGACCTCGTCCCTTAGCTGGTGTATGCTGGCCTCTAACTGACCAGCGGCTTTGCTGAGTCTCAGTCCTACCCATCGCTTGCTCTTTGACCCTTTCTGTAGAGGAGGGGGCTGCGGGGGCTGTCTGCGATTCCCCGCCACTGAATGTGTCTATAAGAGACGCCTATTGACTGATCTCTACCCTAGACCAAAGGCACGTACAGCAAAATCAAATCAAAACCTTTATTACGACCTTTAGGCCAGAGAACACCACAATAAAATACATAAACCTGTAATTATTAATCAAACTAAAATGTAGACATAAAATATATCCAAATATAAATTGCTTCTCAGCCTTTTGGCTAAGATCAAGGGTGCACGGTAGACGTAGGCCGTGACTGATCCACCTGGCTCACCTTGATGGCAACGGTCAGGTGCAGCGACCACCTTCCTTGGTTTCCTTCTCCATCATAAGTGATCACTCCGGGGTTCCAACAAAGGTGGCAGTTTGGCTGCTTTGCCCTGGGTGCCTCCACATCAGTTAGCATGATCTAGAGATTACGGGGCATTTGTACATCTGGACAGGCAGAAAAATTATCCCTTGATATGCCCCTACAGATCCAATCTCAGAAGAATTTGACTACTAATCGAATAACATGCCATAATAATAAAGAAACAGACTCAGAAGTAGATGATGATTCTTTCAAATTCCTCATGGCAGAGACCTTTTACCACCACCCAGTTAAAAAAAAAGGGGGGGGGTCAGAAAACTGGCCGTGCTGAAGGCTAAAAGAAGGCATCCTATCAATATATGGGGTGTGTGTAGATAACTCAAGAAGTGATTCAGTGGCAAATGCTGAACCAGCTAATACAGGTCTCCTGTAGATAGGCCCAGTTTGTTACTTAAGGCTACTCTGAACATAACAGGAACCATGCTGAAAGAAATATAGGAAAGGGTACTTAAAAGAACGGCATATCAGATATGGTTGACGCTGTCCTTGCGACAACCTGGCTCAGCAGCAGCGTGGCCCAGCACTCTCTCTGCTGCCACCCGTGGCCCACATTCCACCACTCCACCTTGGGAGCCCAGGTGATGATAATCCATTCCTGTTTCTGGTTTTGTAGCACTTCATCTTCGGGAAAGGCCATCCCACTGTCAGTGTATTTACAGAGGCAAAACGCATCCTGACTTTAAGGACTGTTTCATAACATCTCCCTGCCTTTCAAAGTGCTCGCCGCCTGACTTATCATCATGTGCATCACCCTCTGCCCCCCTGCAAAAGGAGGAGCTGCATCTATCCCTTTAAAAAAGGGAAAAGAAAGAGTTCTTTCTTTGCTGTAAATTTTTGCTAATCTATTTTGGAGGCAGAGACAAATTCAGCAATTATAACATTAGGAAGGAAGCCAAGCAGAACTTTGACATGGACACACCACTTCCCAAGGAAGATGCTGGGGGATCGCTCTCCTTAGCCGCATAGGCTGAAGAACAAAGGAGACCTGCAGAAACCAATGACAGGGGAAGAAAGGCCAAGAAGCCACCACTTTAGGATCCTTGGAACGGTATTGCGACCAAAGAAGTCCTTGTGGAAGCTTGTGTCTGCGCTGCTCGCTTTGCTCTCCCGGACCCTTTGTTGGGGAGCATGTGATCTCACCATCTGGGATTTTCTGGGAGGAAAAGTGCTGACAGAGGAACCTGTAGCCTACAGGTGAGTGTTTGGGACAGGCTAAAAATACCTGCATTCATCTAAAATCACTTCAGAAGAAACGCTCTTCCAAAATCTGTGTCCCCCCCTCTTATTTCTCACTAGCAGCGCCACAAAGTGTTTGAGATGCCTAAGTCATCAGCACCGAGGCTGTATTTGGACTTCTCCAATAGCACCACTGATCTTCCTGCCAACTGGACCAATGAGACATTCTGTGCAAGTGACCAGCAAGTGGTAATCCCTAGTGAACTCTTCTTGACTCTGGGGGTGATGAGTTTTGTGGAGAACTTGCTGGTGGTGGCTGCCATTGTCAAAAACCGGAACCTCCATTCACCCATGTATTACTTCATCTGCTGCCTGGCTGTTTCAGACATGCTGGTGAGCGTCAGCAACCTGGTGGAGACCCTCTTCATGCTTCTCATAGAACACGGGGTGCTGATCATAGAGCCCACGATAGTCAGACAGGTAGACAACGTCATGGACATGTTGATCTGCAGCTCCTTGATGTCTTCGCTCTCTTTCCTGGGTGTCATCGCCATGGACCGCTACATCACCATCTTCTATGCCTTGCGGTATCACAGCATCATGACCATCCAACGGGCCGTGATCCTCATCGTGGCTGTCTGGCTGATCAGCAGCATCTCCAGCGTCCTCTTCATTGTCTACGACAGCACTGCCGTCATCATGTGTCTGGTGGTTTTCTTCCTCTCCGTGCTGACCCTGATTGCAGGGCTCTACATCCACATGTTCACCCTGGCACACCAGCACGCCAGGCAGATCTCTACCATGTATAGCAAACAGCAGGCTCCCCAGTCTACCAGCATGAAAGGGGCCGTTACCCTCACCATCTTGCTGGGAGTCTTCTTGATCTGTTGGGGACCCTTCTTTCTCCACCTCCTCCTTATCCTCATCTGCCCCAACTGCCCTGCCTGCAAGTGCTACTTCCGTTACTTCAGCCTCTACCTCATCCTCATCATCTGCAATTCAGTGGTGGATCCCATAATTTACGCTTTCCGAAGCCAAGAGCTCAGGAGGACGCTGAAGGAGGTGGTCCTGTGTTTCTGGTGACAGAGGCGGAGAGGCTGGGTCCCTTAGGACATGGTGCAAACCTAAGGTGGTCACTTCACCCCAAACAGGGTGGCTGCCTTGCTGTCCGGGTGCACCGGGAAGGGCCAGCAGATGACCATTTGGAGTGACGCAGCACAGGAAATAGCTGCACTTTTGATTTCTGACTGTCCTTGGAAGAGCTCGACATCCTGCCGCTCTGGCTCTCCTAGCCAGCTGGGCGCTCATTGGATGCCCACCAGCTGGAGATAAAACCAATCGCCACTGCTGGAATCTGGCACGATCCATGCCTTCTTTCATCCGCTGCCTCCTGTTGTTCCCAGCAAACGCTGTCTTTGGCTCCCACAGGCTCTGTTTAGTCCCAGCTGGCAGACAGCAAAGGTCCAGCCCCTCCCTCCCAAACAGGTCAAATCCTGCTTTAAAAGTGGTGGCACAGAGGGAGGGGGATCCCAGCGAATGCAGCCCAGGGCATTTCTCACCTGGGACCAGAGATATCTTTTGCTGGAGAGCCGGATTCACTGATTGTCTCTCTTCTTCTGGCAGATGGGAGTGTTCAAGTGTTATTCTGTGAGAGGCTACACGAGAGGAACTCAGAGAATAAGGAATTACCCAGCTCAGTTCCACTTTTCGCTTGGGCAGGATGTATACTTTATGCTGGCAGTTTGAATGCAAATACCTTTCTGTACAGGATGGCTGTTGCTTTTTACTAAAACTAATGCTTGAATTTCAGGTGGCCCAGGATGTTTTTTGGCAGATCAGTGTGCTTACTTCCTTTAAATTTCGCAAGTTCCTCTCTCCATCATCATCAGCTATGCCTGCAAAGTTCACTTAATTTTCCCAAGCAAATAGTCACCCACTGTTTAAAGGTGAAAGGTATCTGAATAACATGAAGGCCATTGGGGGAGGGCATACAGAGGGAAATGCCAATGGAGCATAACAAATCAGCCACGAGATTTTGGGCTCGAAGTAAGAACCGGGGCCTCCGATCTGCAGCACTCTTTGCAATATTAGTGTATTTCTGTCTGCTGGACTGCTTTTAGTATAGACTCCTTGCAAGGCATCTTTTTCGGCATGTTTCCCAAGGGCATACTTAAAACCCTACTTTGATCATTGACAAGGCTAGTCTTGCAGATGTGAATCCACTCAAGAAGATAGCTTGATGGGCAAATTGAAACAGGGAGTCCCGTTTTCTGAAGGGAACAAGCAGGCTGCTTTCCAAGGTGTGGAAGGAGAAGACGCAGGCTCGCCTGTCTGCCTGCCTGCCTGCTTGCGCGCGCATGGATGGCCTGAGTCCCAGGATGGCTGGTGACAGGAAGATGAGATCCAAAGAGGATGGATTTCAGCCCCGACTCTGGGGAGGAATCAAGGGTGTTGGTTTGGGTGGGCAGGATAATTGAGGCCCATCTTCTACATTCCACCAGGGTTTCATTTCTCTTGCCTGAGATATCATTCTTGCAGGTTGTTCCTCTGTAAATGGGAGATAAAAGGGCTTTCAGTTGTTAAAAGGCAGGGAGGCTCACCTGACCAGGGCCTTGGGGTCCAGGTTCGGCCACAGAAGTGCCTCTCAGCACCCTTTCAGAGCACTCCCCAGTCTGGCTGCAGCGTCGGGGGGGGGTCTCCCTCTTTCCTTGGGGCCCACCTGAGCCTTTAGAGTAGAAAGTTTCGTCAAAACAGATGCTCCTCAGCAGGGAATCCTCTGCAGCATGTTACAAAGGATCTTCTGGGCAGCAGCTCTGGGTGAAGCCTGCAAGCGCCATCCTTGGGCCTGCTCGTCACGGCTGCCGACACCAGCCACGCACACTCTTGGGCAGAGAGTTCGGTCTTGCCTAGTGCTCCGGAGACCCTCCTCTTGGCCAGACCCTGAAAGCCTGGCACCCTCTGCTGCGCGAAGAGGACCTTCTTTCATCCCGCTGTGCAAAAGGCTGGTGCTGCTCTGAGCTCGCGAGCCCAGTGGCAGAGGTGCCCCCCGCCTCCCCTCCCACTAAAGCTAGGAACCCATCCTGGCTGGGACGTGAGCATCCCTGCCGCGGCCCTGGAGGAATCGTCCTCTGGAGCATCGCCAGGCGAGCAGCTTTGTGTGTCTTCCTGCCTGCGTTGCACCCGCTCCCTCTGGGCCCTCTTGGCTCCTTCTGGGAGACTCCTCAGCTGGCAGCCTCCGGATTGGTTGGGGTTCAGTTCCTGGAGGTGACAGGACTGAGGGAGCAGGAGACCATTGGCTTCAGACGGCAGGCCTAAGGGGAGGCCAGGCCCTCTGGAGGCCCTCTCTCCCCCCAGGGCCCGTGGCTCTTCCCCTCCGCAGCTCTGCCTGCAGGGGCTGCCCCGGAGCAGTGGCTGCACCCACATGGTGGGAATTCAGCAGCTCCTCAGGATGAGCCCAAACGCCTTTTCTGACTGTATTTGGCCAGTCCCTCGGATGTCCCCGGCTGCGAGAAGGCCCCGATATGGCTGGGCTGCTGGGTAAGTTCTACAGAGCGGGAAGAGCTGAGATCCATGACTAAGGGGCTGCTTGGTTACCTGGGCTGGAGAAAGGCTTGTGCTCAGAAGTCAAGATGGTGGCCACGCACTGGCAAGGGCAGGGCTGCAATCGCTCCGTCGGGGCTGCCATCTTGACTTTCGGACCATACCCCATGGGCACCCCTGTTCATGGCCTTCTGATGCCAAAGGGGGCGTGCTGCTCCCCTGCTCCTCCTTGTTCTAGCACTCCCTTGCTTCCCTGCCTGCCTTCCCCTCCCCGCAGGCCGACCGCCTTCTGATCTTCCCTTCCCCCCTTCCAAGCGGGAAGCTAGTGGGAGGGCAGGCGAGGTACATAGGAAGGGGAGAGGCGATTTGTCCGGGTGGGGCGGCCAGGCTGGATCGCAGGCAGGTCCCGGGGCCGCGGCTGCCTCGGCTGCCTTCGCGGCCGTCTCCCACCTCCAAAGCCAATGCGGACGCCGAAGGGGGCAGCCCGGAGCTCCCCC